TTCAAGCAACCCGGAAGTGTCAGCGAACCGCGGCGTGGATAGCGAACTATGGCGTGGCGTGGATTTTCAACCCGCCCGCTACAAGACCATCAAAAACATATAACTCCCAGAAGAGAATGTTTAAATCCGAAATGATTTTGTTCGAGGAAAAAATATTTGTGGATACATTTTACTGGATGGAAACTTGAAAAACGGGTTTTATTAATGAGATTAACGTATGCGAAAGGCGCCGACATCAATTGTTCGTCAGCATATAACAATAACAATAGGGCTGTCGTAACATAGGGCTGTCGTAACATAGGGCTGTCGTAACATAGGGCTGTCGTAACATAGGGCTGTCGTAACATAGGGCTGTCGTAACATAGGGCTGTCGTAACATAGGGTATGAACCTGTGCCGGGCCGATGGAGTCTGACGCCAGTCAACTTTGCTACAATTTTGCTACAATTTTGATGGTGTTGAAGCATAGGAATGTACGAAAATAATGTGTATAAGGTGTTTCTCACGCGGTCATAGTTATTATAAAACTGCTACTTTTTTTTCAAAGCTATTGTTCAGCGCAAACTTTAACTTTACTACCGTGAATGAATACAATGTAACGTGTAGTAATCCCTCCGTCTCCGGTAAATTCGGCAAGATTGTTACCAAGAAATAAAAATTATGAGGCGTACCGGCAGTAGTTTGTTGTTGTGTTTCATAATCTTGTAGCTGTTGTCTTCTCATGGGTAGCTTGCGTCAAGAGGTCTCCGTATTAGTATTAAGAATTGCCACAATCAAAAGTTTGCCCATCAAAATCCCGGGGCGTGCGTCTCCCCCCTCCCCAAAAACTCATGCATCAACAACGACCATGTCCATAATTAATTTCGATAGATTGCTATCACCCTGAAAGCAAGTACTTCCACGCGGCTGGCAAAGTTTCTTTCGGTAGGAAAACATTCTACTTCTGTCAGCTACGGGGTCAGCCAACTAGATGAAAACGGAGTCGATTTTTAACAGAACAACGCTATAAACTTAGCGCACGTCCAAGACACGGGAGAACCCGAAAAATAAATAAACACGGGAGAACCCGAACTAAACGTGTTTATGCAAAATTTGAAGCAAATTAATTCGTTCTCAGACCATAAAACTTGAAATTCACTCGGTACACTCCGTGGAACTAGCCTCCTCACATGTGAAAAACGTTGTTTTGGGATGAAATTGGGATATAAGAAAATTACAATGCCGCATGCCGGCCGTGCAGGGCGGAAAAGAAGCTACAATCCGACGTACGTATAACAATCGTCAGGCGGTGTTTCTTTGGGGCGGCGCATCTGACTCAACTCTTTGAATTCGCGGCCCGGCTGGTGGGCGGGTCTCCGTTTGCGCGCTGTGATTGGCGCGCCAGAACGCCACGTGGTCAGGCGGCGCCGGGGAGTCTGCCAGCGCCGCTGCTGGCGACGTGCGGTTTCTATGGCGACGCGGCGTGGGAACTCCCGGCCCAACACTGGGGGTCTGCATGCCCTTTTTCGTAAGGCGTAATCAGGCGTTTTTTAATTCATTGTCTTCGTAAACCGTAGGCAACCTTCCCTAAAATCAACGTAATTCGTAATCAGTACATTAGCCGCAAAGCGTAAAGTCGTAATCAGCTCTGAAACTTTAACTTTATAGCGAAAATTTTGCGTAATTCGTAATCACTAACCCCCATGCAGGCCCTGAACACTGCGTGGCGCACGAAATGTATCAAAGTTTGAGGCGTAAAGAACCCTTGAATTATGCTTCGCCCCCTTGTTTTACACAATGTTTAATCTCTCTTCCGTAACTCCATACGTCAACCTCCCCTATCTAGGAGAAAAATAAAGAACTCGAGTGGCGATTTGGCACGTCGATGCGTTAGATTTTTTAAAAATTATATCTGAAATAGCGCGGGTCGGGTGACATCAAAATAAAGCCGTCCACGTCGCAAGGCCGGACACAAAACTTGTACAAGAAGGTTGTATTACTTTGTTATCGTTCTATATCTTATTAAGCCACCAGATTTTCGATATTAAAAAAAAAGAAATGTTTGGTTAAAAATACTATTTGCTCTACTGTTATTTGCATGAAACATACTAAAACATGCACGCATCGTCTGTCTGCGTAAAAATCTGTAGTCAACGCGGTTCAACTTGAAGTAACAGCGGCGACGGCCCTTCGGAAACCTTAAAAGTCTCACACCGAAGATCGGGGTTGCGGGAGAGGATTTCGTACCGCGGGATATCCCGATAAATCCCGCAGGAGATCCCGCAAACTCCCGCAGGAGATCCCGCAAACTCCCGCGGGAGATCCCGCAAACTCCCGCGTGATATCCCGCAAACTCCCGCGGGATCTCCCGCGGGACTTGATGCTTATCCCGAGATCTGTACTGTAAGGTATGATCTCAGAATGAGGACATGCTGAGTCACTGATGAAAGACATCCACATTTAGAACCTTTTTTTTGCCCTGTTGCTTCCTATTTTTTCTGAAATAATCTGAAAACCAACAAGAAGCCATAGGTGACAATCCTCCGTGAAGTTTTATACATTTCAACAAAAACAAGCGTCAACGCCAGACCTACTGTAACCTGGTATCCAGTCTGATCGTGGTCGGGGCCATAAGAGCTCGGGGCCGTAAGAGCTCTGGCCCGCCCGCCTCACATAGGTTTCCCGGTGTGTATTTCACGAGAGATTAATTAGCCCTCCTATCGTGTTGGGGGAAACCAAATCCCCAAGCATACTGTCTCTGATTAGCGTAACACTCCTACCGGGACGGTCTGTTGCACTGGGCGGGGGAAGCTCTTAGAGCCCCCGACGACACAACCTGCCTGAACACCCCAATACCCCCAATCACGATCAGACTGGATACCAGGCTAGACCTACTGTGCAGACATTATAATTAGGCAACGGTTAATACAATGAGGGCGCGTCACAAGCATAAAACATACAAAGAGCTAAATCCATTACTGCTCCCAGGGCGTGTAAAGATACAGTGCTTCAAGTTCGAAGATCATTCTAATTACACACACACAATCATTGCATTCACATAAAGATCGGATCGGACATGGTCGTGTCTAGTAACAAAGACAGCCCCACCGTCTTAACGTGCCTGTACCTAATTAAGCGCGCCTGGAAGTTGCGGTAAGCACCGCGAGTGTTACTACCGCCGGCCAGATAACCAGGATATCTGCTTACAGTACCTCTGCTACCAGACAACTGCCTAAACATACGGCCTATTCCACAGGATTGTAAAAGTAGGGATGTTTCTAAAATATGCATTTACTTCAATATCAAAACAGCTACGGTAAAAATAAAAAGACGTGCATCATCCCGGACATAATGCCACACCACATGCGAAATTTCACAGAAATGCGACGTACGGAGGAATGCGTTTTGGCTGCGAACATCTTCCAAAAAACTTGGCATCTCTTAAGCATGGGCAAAAACATCTGGAACCACTTATCAAAACCACCCCGTATCTGCATGAAGTTCCACCCCCCCCACTGCTATTCCAAACAACGCGTTTTTCTGGACCATTCCAATTCGCCTCGTAATTGTAGGGGTGCGTCTGCAATATTACATTGACCGCGAAAGCAGCAACGGCAAAAATACACATTCGTGCATCAACACGGGCATGCCCGCAGACGGCGTATAAAATTGCGTGCCGATTACACAAAGAGAACCCAGTGTTTTGACTGCGAACATGAAAAATCAGCCGATCACAACACTCCGTCCGGAGGTCCTGACCTCCTTCACGGAGTAACAAATTAACTTGGTGTGGCCTAAATGAGACTTAAAGGAGATTCAGATTGTGATGTGATCCACACGTGATGTGATCGTGATGTGATCCACAACTATTATTCTGCTCATCTATCCAGCAATGCTACACAGAGGTGACTGACCTGAAGGTCATCCACTGGAACTCTCCCAAGAAGCTGCGTGTGAAGAACAAGCACGTTGAGTTCTTTAAGAACATGTACCTGACGTTCCTGGAGTACGATGGGAACCTCCTGCGGCGCGAGCTGTTCGGCTGTGAGAAGGTCCAGCACCTGGACGAGGTGGACCAGAAGGTGGGAGGAGCAATCCTTGTTACATTTCATGCACTCATACTATAGTATGGGAGAAATGTATGTTTCTCCTCCCACTGCCATTTCTTTGAAGGGATTCAACTCAGCCGTTTTTCAGCCGAATGACCTGAAATTTGGCATGGAGGTAGAGTGGGCAAATACCCCCAGACGTATTTTTTTTTTTTCATTTTTTTTGAAACAGGCCTGAAATTGTTTTATTTGTTGTTTTTTTTTTGGTCATTTTAGGCAAAAAATAATAACTTTTGGGATCTGGAGCCCTGGTACTAAAACTAAATGACCTGAAATTTGGTATTGGAATACCTTAAGCTTTAAGCAGGGGTGATTTAGGAACAATCCATTTGTGTGGGAGGGGGATAGCTCCATTTTTGGTACGGGGGATGTGGTGAAGCCATGCTGCATTACTCCTGAGCAAATGTTGGCCTTTCTAGGGGAAATTTGGAATGGGAGGAAGAATGGGTGAAATGTGCTGTATTTGCTCTTGAGCAAATGTCGGCCTTTCTAGTTTCTTCCTCCCCTTTCATAACTTTCTTTTATTAGTGAAAAAGTGGGGTCCTCTCCAGTGTTCTAGCCACCCTAAAAATTTTCTCTGTCATCCCAATTTTGTTTCATGTAACATCTCTTTCTACATTTTTACACACCAATTTTTGTCTGACAAAGATGAGAGATTGGGCCAAATTTTCGTCCATTAATTTTCAATACATGCAAAATTCCACCAATGCTTCCTAAAAAGAAGTCATAACCAAGATACCCATAATATATACATTGTAATTACGTTTTTTTTTATTTAGAATGTAAGCACTTCAATTTAAAAGTAGCCATTGTCCTTAATTAAGTACATTATTATATGCATAATGTATCTTGTTGTATGTATATATATAATATATCTTAACCTTCAGGCAAGAATTTACAATATTGATTATTACAGTAACAATGTTGTTTGTTCCACTGATGTTCTCAACAATCCACTGTGCAACATCACTTTAAACTTTTAGCACACTGAAGAGCCATTTGGCTACCAGTTCTCTTATATTTACGGTGTTAGGCAGCAGGGAGAAGGTTACATAGAACTGTATCATGTCACTCACTGTGTACATGTACATGTTCCCGCTCCCTTGTGAAATGTTGTCACCCTCCCCCCCCCACCACCACACCCCACTTACTCTTGTTTGTTTATGATGTTTGTATACAATGTATAGTGTGGGAATTGTGTACAAATCATGTAGATACAGTTTTTTTATTATAGCAAAAAGTGCAAGGAAAAATTATAATTGCTGTCAAAAGAGGCATACCGCACATCCTTTTAGTTCGATATTTTTTATTAATATGAAAAAATTAATATTTGAATCATCAGAAGCTATAGTCAAAATGATAAAAGACATAATAGATTTCACATGTGGGCCAGGTCAAGGATGACTTCAGTTGTAAAATTAAGGGATACATGTAAGTACAACTCTTTGAAAACAAAATGGCACACTGAACAAGCTAAGAAGAAAATTGACCAAAAATAATTTCACTTTGCAATTTTTTCATACTGCAGTCATCCTCCCTGGTCTGGCTGTTCTGGTACCCTGTATTCTTGGAAATGTACCATGTTGATGTTGTTGTTGTTGTTGTTCTGACGAAGCTGTGACTGAAGTCCACTTGTTTGTTTGTTCTTTTCCATGCTCTCTCAAGGCTACCGAAACCATCGATGTGGTAAACCGTCTTTCCTTCTTCTTCTCTTACCTGACAGTGCTCTGGTCATGTGATCAATGTTGTGGGCTGTTCCATTGAAACTGTAGGGAGGGGCAGGGTAGAATTTTCCCCCACCCTCTCGTTCAGGGGTGTACTATATTTGGTAAAATTGTTGATTATAGTTACACACTTCTGTTGATATCAGAAATAATTCTCTTTGGCCATTACTAGTACCTCATTCAACTGCCCTCTTAACCATTGACGTCTGCTCCTATTGACATTGATGTTGTTATGTAGATAGGGCACTTTGTCATCCTAAAGGCAAAACAACAATGGCCAGCCAATTATAGTGTTTTATTATGTGTACATTAAAGGTAATGATAGTACACTGATACATGACGTGTAGTTGCAAGTTAAAAATTTCACACTGCGTTTGTTAGACTAGAGTCTATAAAAAGACAATTGAAAAATGCTGCAAAATCTTCATTTGGAAACAAAATCTGTGGAGCAAAAAATATGTACACTGTACACATGTACCCATGTCATCAAAAGGCCACACCAATTTAATTTGATGGTTTTCTGATCGTGACAAGTGACAGGGCAAAATGAAAAATCAAATTGGTGTGGTCTGAGGGTTGTTTTCTAATGTGTGTCAGTTTGGACATCTATCTCATATCTATCATCATTCTACACCCCTGAAACAAACTAAACTTTTCTATCTGATGCTCCTCAAATTTCAGTAGAATAGCCCATATGTTGTTCTGTCCTGTGTCCATCACACAGCACTATTCTCCTCTAACTATACATGTTTCTGGTCCTCGTCTTTCTTACTAACATTTCTGACAAGTATTGACATTTTCGTGTCAAATAACAAAAAGCTATGCTACAATCTTCCCCAAACTTATGTTAATATTACCTGTGCATAGAATACAATACAGGTATGTAATAATAATTATGATCCCCAGAAGCTGGTGTGCTCCATAGCTGTGGTGTTGGTGGTGGAACTTTATCTTTCTAATCACATGACTGGTCACATGACCTAAGATTCTAGTCCACAGCCAATCATCTCATCCGACTGACAGTGATCACCCTGACAAATCACAGTCATGCTTACATTCATCTAGAAGAGGTTACTAGAGTTCACAACTGTGACAACATACATGTAGACCTTCTGTCAGTCTTGACCGACCTTTTAGTAATACACAGTGTTGCAAAGTAAGGGGGCAGCAGTTAAGAGCATTTTTCACATTGAAAATTTTGGGGGAGGGGTGTGTTGGAGTGTTCTTGTTTTTTTGAGCACAGGCCAAAATCAATGTCATCCATTAAATTAAATCAGTTTGGCCTAAGATAAAAGTACTTCTTGTCAAGTACATTCTACAGTCAGTGTCTTGTTCTCATAAAAAAGTGACAATGAAATTTCTGTCCCCAAGTGTAAGAACAACAGTTGTGAACCCTAGACACTCCCATCCACTCACACCAGAGGAACTAAGGAAGCTGACAGTGTCTAATATAGACCTGCTGCTGACATGAGTTTTACCTGTGATGGGCACTAGTACTTTCCTCTGCGTCATATTCAAACATAAAATCTGGTGTGGGTTAAGGAACTACTTAAACAAATATAAAAGTGTTGGCTCTAAATGTGAAGGGCTTGAAGGTCAAGATTATTTAAAGGGATATGTCAGCATGTAGTGTGCAGCTGTGAAGTTAAACTTGTTCAAACAGACTTAGTCACTGTCTGTTGACACATTTCGGAATCTGAGCCAAAGCAGACTGAAAGAAGCTAAAATCAGCACCACTGTCTACAAAATTACATTATAGCCACAGTCTGTTATTGTAGCCAAGTTGTAACAATGTGGTGATTTGGTTGTTTTCACACATGTTGAAACAAACTCACAGCTTGTGCAGAAATCTTCAAATTTCTTTGCTAACTGATTTGTCTGTTAGGATAAATGAATAAAGACAGGGTTGACAGGGCATAAGGTCTTTAATTATATTGTATTTAATCCAGCTGCTTTAAGCTTTGTGGCCAACTTTACACCGTCCAAAATTGCTTAGACTGATCCCACCTCGGTCAAAATGAGATGCAAACAAAAACATACAAAGAAAAGAACACAAAATGAAAATATAGATTTGCGAAACATTAAAATTGATCACCCATTGTCTTAATTGTTGAACTGCTATTTTGATGGACTTCTGTCTGGGATTGTACATGTATGAACCAGGTGGCTACAAGGTGGAAGAGCTGGACTGAAAGTTTTGCACATGCATGTGGTATTCTGTTATGTTCCGTTATGACTTTGTTCATGTACATGTGTACTTGTGACTTCTCCAGTTGAATGCTCTTGATGAGGATGACCAGTGCTATGACTTCAGGCGTGAGCGGGTTCTGATGCACAGGACTCACCTCTACTTCCTGGACTATCAGTACCAGGTGGGGACAACATTCTTCTAACTTTGTCACTGAAATCTATCCAAGCCTTCTCTTAACCTTCTCACTATGACACCTTTTTCCAAACACATTTTACAATCTGAAAATTATAATATGACTACCAGAAGAGAACAAGAAATAGCCATGCCTTCAAGTACCAGAGTAGTTATCCACCAATGATTGACAGAGGTGTTCAAGAATTCATTCTTTCCTAGCAGTATCACAGAGTAGAACTTACTGTCACCAAGTACAGTAGGGGCATTGTCATGAGATAGCTTTAAACAATGTCTAGAGTCAGAAGTTCAAGGATTAGGTGTAACAAGTCAATTGATGTAATATAACCAGCTTCCACCGCGCCACCACGTGCCTGCGAAGCTGGTGTGTTACGCCAAAGGGCGGTTATACTGGCTATACAGATACAGAAGCTGGTGTGTTACGCCAAAGGGCGGTTATACCGGCTATACAGATACAGAATCTGATATTGTTTTAGTTTGAAATTGTTTACGAGTATATTTTCTTGGCTGGAGCTTGATGTTTGTTGTGTGGTTCCCAGTCGGTGGATGACAATGACGTGACGTTAGTGGCCCAGCTGTCCATGGACAGACTACAGATGCTGGAGGCACTCTGCAGACACTGGGAAGGTCAGAAGGAGATTTTATTAACAACAGTCATGTTCCACTTTCTATACACTTTCTATTTCTTTTTTGTTTGGGAGGACAACTTGTAAAGGTGTTAATGCACCTGTTTTGTCCTCCCTTCCACTTGTATATCTCGTGGTAAACTCAAATAAACAAATACCTATAGAAAGCATGTATTTGCAATAAACTTTCTTTAAAAAAATGTTGTAAACCTGTCCAGGTCCCATCAGCCTGGCCCTGTACATGTCTGATGCTGAGGCCCAGCAGTTTCTCCGCTATGCTCTGGGCTCGGAGACTCTCATGCAGAGGAAGAACGTGGGGTATCACATCGTCTACAAGGAAGGGGTGAGGGAATATCCCAGTTTTGCACAAAACCTGTAATGTGTAACTGTGCATAGCAGAATGTTTCATTTAGGGTCGTATTCACCTTCTATTTAAGGATTACACCTTGTCTATGGTTTTGAAATGTTGTGTTGGAAGAGATGTTGTCTCACTCACTCACTCACTCACCCACTCACTCACTCATTCACTCACTCACTCACTCACTCACTCACTCACCCACTCACTCATCCTCTCACTCACTCACTCACTCATCCTCTCACTCACTCACTCACTCACTCACTCACTCACTCACTCACTCACTCATCCTCTCACTCACTCACTCATTCACCCACTCACTAACTCACTCACTCACTCACTCACTCACTCACTCACTCACTCACTCACTCACTCACTCACCCACACAACCACTACTCACACACACACTCACTCACCCACCCACACACCCACCCACTCACTCACTCTCACTCACTCACTCACTCACTCACCCACCCACCCACTCACTCACTCCCTCACTCACCCACACTCACACACACACACACTCACTCACTCACACACACACACACACACTCACTCACCCACCCACTCACTCACTCACTCACTCACTCACTCACTCACTCACTCACTCACCCACTTAATCCTTTTGCACATGATGTGTAGAGCTGACGAGCTTCGTCAGGGCCCGTTACTTTCCTGTGTCTTCAGCCAGCTGCTGTGTCTGGGAGAGCAGGATGTTGATGTTGCTTAGGTCACGTCATACAGCATCCATCCATCAGACAGTTCATTAGACAGTAGTGTTGCATAGCCTGTGCGGAGGAGAGTCTGTACAGTCCAGGTGGCAATACGAACCTTATCACGGAAATTCAGTACTCGTTTGTCAGTAACACGCAGTGGTCGATTCCGAGAAGGGTTAGTCCTAATTCTACTAGTCAGTGACGTCACAAAGTTAATTTCTGCCACGGGCAAAATTGAGGAAATGCTGACCAATTATCCAATGAAAACTGTGAGAAATTTTGTTTCTTGCATATATTATAGGCACAGTACATTCTACCAGCACACTGAGATTGTTAGGACTGGTTTTCCAATTCAAAGGGTAACACGTCACTACACATTAACAGCTTAATATTCTAGTTTGTACTCAGTAAGACTTAAAATTCAGTACTAGTATAGTTATAACCATGGTAGTTGCTGTGTTGGCAGGTAGGAGAAATTAAAGAACCTACTGAACTGATTTTTGGGGCCTTGTCAAGAAGAAATTTGATGAAAGAAGTACTTTTCCAGCGCTGTATATGCCCATGTATGTATTATAAAATATTATGTTTTTATATCATACCCGGGCCGCGATAACGTTCCATAACGGGTTCCGGACCGGGCCGTACTTTACGGTACGGCCCGGGCTCCATGGCTTCCATAGAACAATTCGAACGCGTTTTGTCCTAACCGCGTGCGCCGCTTTCGAAAATTTGAATAGAGAATCCGAACGTTGGAACTGATGTTGTTGCATTTGAGGGTTTAGGGGCACCAACTTTTGGCTCATCTTGCATTAAAAGGCGTGTTTTCTTGGGTGGGTATGACATGATACGTAATACCCCGTGTTGTATTCTATATGTACTTTAACAATGATTTATGTTTTCATGTTTAGCAATTCTACCCTGTGAACCTCCTGAGGAACATTGCCCTACAGCAGGTCAACACCCCGTATGTCTTCCTGATGGACATAGACTTTCTCCCAATGTACAACCTCTATCCCTACCTGAAGAAAACAGTGGGGATGATGGACATGAGGAGACAGAAGAAGGTAAGGAGAATCTATCTTTTATTTTGTGCTGCATTGATTATCACAGGCTCATATGATACTCTTTAATAATGTTTACCGAAGGAAAACATATAATTGTTTTTGCTCAGTTTCCTCCTCTTCTTCTCCAAACAGTGACCTCTGACCTGGCCAATGGCCTCATTTGTTGACATCTGTCACCGTAGTAAAGGGTGTTGGGTTACATAATGTTGCAATGTCATAGTAGACATTTAGACCCCTGTCACCATGTACATGTATGTGAATGTGTTTGAGACCAGACCATATCCGAAGGAAGACATTATATGCATTTGCTTTGCAAATTTTACATTTTCTAGTTTGTAAACTTTGTTGTGATCAATGTACCTTTTATTTTTGTTGACTTTTATGTTGAAAGAAATAAGCAAATGAGCAGTTGCTATAAGGCACATGTACAATCAAAAGTCATATATAACTGTACAACATTATGTCATATTTTCTGCTGAACCCCAGTCCTTAGTGGTACCAGCGTTTGAAACCCTGCGGTATCGACTGTCCTTCCCCAAGTCCAAGGCTGAGCTGCTGTCCATGTTGGATATGGGAACTCTGTACACATTCAGGTAACAGTGTCCGTCTAGAAAAATTTCTAAAGCTTCGGTCACAACCCACCGTACGTGCTGCAGCGTGCTGTCTACGTGCAAAAACGTGGGCAAACGCAGGGCATCCGTGCGTGGTGAGTACCGCTTACGTACGGAATCCTACGGATTTTTGAGCACGCAGACATGCCTTGTAAAGTCCTTGTAAAACTTTTTCTACGTGCGGTCTGCGGATTCACCACGCGTGCGTGCGAGTACGTGCGACGTGCGTGCCCCGTACGTGCCATGCGGAAGAAGCATGTGTGAGTACGACCTCCTTACGGTAAAGTTGCAATCATTTATGGCACGTACGATGCACGCAACCGCTCACGTGACGTGGTGTGCAGACCCAACGCTTACACCTTGCGCAACCGTGCGAGTGACGTGTGTCAACACCACTCCTTCCCCACGTTTTCAGAAAAAACGTAGCAGAAGCATGTACGGCGGGTTGTGACCGCAGCTTAACCTATACCAAGATATGTACTTGCAAGAATCTTTTCCTGGTTTCAAAACTCATCAGAAGTGTTTCATTTGTTAAGTACCATGTACAAAGTCTAATATGCATCAAATAAACTACAAATTCAGTGAACTTTGCTTTTTTTCCCTCTTCATTCAAGTTTGTGTCTTTTACAAATAACTCTTCTCTTGTACATGTAGATATCACGTGTGGCAGAAGGGCCATGCACCCACTAACTATGCCAAGTGGAGAACAGCAACTACACCATACAGGGTAAAGTATACACTAAGTCTAAAACATGGTCATTTTTATGTTTCGTTTTGAAGAAGGCAAACATATTGTTTTTGCTGTCTTGCTTTATTTCTTCTATTCCAAACAAATAAGGTCAATGGCCAGAACCAGGCATCTGTCACTATGGTAACTGCTGTGGCAGACCCCCTGTGGTGTTGAAATACATTATGTAGCAAGGACAGAGTTGCAGGGGCCACCATATACATTGAATGTATATAAAGTGTTAAAGAATAAACAGAGCAGTAGTTTGTTGGGCTAGACCATGTGAAGGTAAAGTAAACACTTAGATCTACATAAATATTATTTGCTTTGCAAATGTCACCTTTCTAGTTCTTGTGAGTTTATCATTGAAATTTGTTACTAAATGTAGTTTACGAATTACATATAGAACATGCATCAGGGTCGGACAAATTCAATTGCCCACTTGCCCAGGGCAAGTAAAAGTACTGTTTGGGCAAGTGCATTTTGATTGGGCAAGTACATTTTTTTTGTATGTAGCATTATACCCCAGTGTTTCTCTCATTAAGATTGTCAGAAAATCCATAGCACTCTCAAACCACCAATTTGCTTTCATACTGAAGTTACAGAATGATTTCTTTGCTGCCAGTAAAAATGCATCAAAATATTTCATTAATCTTTTGGGGCAAGCAGATTTTTTAAAACTTGTCCAACCCTGAATCCCTGATGTATTCTATGCTTGGTACAGTAACTGTCAAAATGTTCAGATGGACCTTTCTGAGAATCACAAAACATGACGTTGTGTTTATTGATTGCATGCTTGTATAAGGCCGCACAACACAGTATTTATGGGCGAACCCCGTAGTCAAAAGTAGTCCGGGCACAAAGTAGTGCTGCACAATACTAGAAAAAGATGCAGAGATTGTTCTGTGCATGGCATCGAGATGGAACCTGTGGTAAATGTTAGAGGAATACGTCAGTTTTGAGACTGTAAAAGTTGAATTATGGTGCGTGTTCAGTCGGCGTAGATTTGCGCTTGGATACCTGTCCCGCCTATAGTACTGTGCATCGGCTGCAGTTCCATGACCTCCGCAGTGGCACTAATAAAATATGGCATGAGAAGAGAACTAGCCGGCAAATCTAAGCTCATTTTCACATATTTTGTACACTAAACCCTGAAATTAAACATATCAAAATTCTGAACCTTGCTTGTGCACCCTAGTATGATTTTCCGTGAGTCGAAGTGAGTCACTTTGGGGTCCTTAACTATAGAAATCCCCATAGGGCTAATACTGTGTTGTGCCGCCATAAGCAGATTTGACTAACCACTG